GCGCCATTCCGCCCGCCCCGACGTGCGCGCACTTAAAGCCTCGTCAGAAAGGATCAGGAAGCCGGGACTTCTGGGACCGACCACTGGGAAACAAGTGCGCCTGGTGTCCGGCCGCCTGGGCGGACCCGGAGAGCGGCTGAGCGCGGGGAGCAGGGGCGAGGGCGGGGAGCAGGGCTGAGGGCGGGGAGCAGGGGCGAGGGCGGGGAGCAGGGCTGAGGGCGGGGAGCGGCAGAGCGCCTCGCCCAGCGTGCCCGCCTCGCTCCTGCTGGGCCTGCCCTTCCGGTGAGCGTTTGGCCCCGACGGACACCAGGCCGGGGAAACATCAGAGTGACCACTGTTCCTTGCACGCTCCTCACCACCCGGTCACCTGACTGGAAGGCGCCAGGCCCCAAATGGGAAGAAGCGGACACAAGTCAGTGTCCTGAGATGACAAAGTGTGAGGTGCTCGGCGCCGCCCGCAGCTGGCGACGCCCACAGGTGACTGGACACCACGTCTCCCCAGCACGGTCTGCTACTGCCGCCCCTGATGGTCACGGCTAACGCCTTTCGAGCGGCACCACGCCTGCCGCTGTGCGGGTGGCTTCACGAGTGTCCTTTCTCCTACCCGACCCTCGGGCACCTGCCATTATTCCCATTTCACTGCTGGGGAAACCGAGGCAGAGAGGGCGAGATGCCCGAGTCGGACATGATGCCCAGGCAGGACGGCCAGGGCCATCGCCCAGGCCCGTGTGGCTCGAAGCAGAGCTTTTCTGACCCCGGGCACAGCTTGAAATGGCTGTCCTCATTCCCCGGGCGGTGAGGACACGGAGAACTGATCTTCACCCATATACACAATTCTATTTCTTAACCGTTCTACTTCGCTATTCCCTAATTTTTCTACTGCGGCCACATGACCCTTTGATGAGTCAGAAAAAATATACAAGTATCTTCTTCCTGACCAACGTGCTTATTAAGCAGACAACTGAATGAGTAACCTTTAGCCATAGTTCACATTCCCCGCCCCACCCCACAAAACACAGGCCAGCACGCACATCCACCACAGTTAATGGCCCTCAACCGGGCGATCTGCCAGGGTCACAGTTTTTTATAAATAAAGCAGCATAAACAAAAACTGGGGGGTGGGGCGGACACCAATTCTTCCCTGGCAAGTCCCACTGCAAAGGACAGGCGGACAGGCAGAGGCTTCCCCCACCAACAATTACTGCAGTGGAGGAGTGGGGAGGTCCTGGGGCCACCACCAGGGGTGTCCTAGAAGGGAAAATGAAGGCGGGCAAGCCGGCAGAAGGGCTCGGGAGCCAGAGGGGGCCGTGGACGGTGGCCTGGGAAAGCGGGGCTGGGGGAAGCACTCTTCCGGAGGACTTCCTGTTGCTCCGGGCAGGGTGGGCGAGCCGGCCTCTCTGCTACTCGTATCAGATGTGCCTGCAAACTTCTCACAGCTGTAGGCCATGTCCCCATGTCACTCACACAGAGCTGGGGACCGTCTAGGAGAACAACAGAGTCAGTGCCAACCCGCCACGGGGCTGCCTGACCCTGGGACCTCCGACCCGACACGGACAGCCAGGGCTGTCTGCTAGCACACCGAGCTGGTCACCTGACGTGGGTGACAACAGGCTCGGGGACCGCTCCAGGGCCCTCCCTCCCCTTCAGGCACAGCTGCCTTGGCGCCCCTGCCACCAGCCCACCCAGACCCCTCTGCTCCCGTTTCTGCGCCTGTAACGCGGGATGATATTCGCTTCAACAGGTTGTCGTGGGAAACGTGAAAAGCAGGGCAGGGCGTGTGCCCGGCACGGGGCTGGCAGCCCGCCGCTCGGGGAAGGCTACTGCCATCAGTTTGTAATGCGACAAAGTGGAATTCGGAACACTGTTACGGCTTCGAAATTTGAGCTCGGTAAAGGAAAGGGCCCCTGCATGAGACGACGGTGGGGTCGTCACAGGTGACTCCTGTCTGACCCGGGACGAGGCATTTGCCTTCAGAAGGATACCTGCCCTCCCTGACTCGCCTGCTGAGAAAGGGCTAGACAGGGTGGAGTCCCACGCACTCCCAGCCAGGCCACGCCCCGGCCCTGTCACACACACAGAGCCGCAGAGCGAAGGCTGGCAGCGACCCCGCAAAGCACGGAGTTCCACCCCTCGCCCAGTGATGGGACCCCCTCGTGTCTCCCGTGGGTGGTCTCAGCTTCTGCTTGAACACCTGGCAGTGGGGCTGATTCCAGGTTCAAAGAGCTAGGTTAGAACCCACTGCGGTCTGCTGCCCCACACGAGGACAGCACCTCCCAGAACCTTCTCTGCCCTGGCGCTCCATGACCCCGAACACGCGAGTGCCCTCTGATTTCTCCCGAAGGCGTGGCTTCCGTTTGCAAAGCATCACCATCCTCCCCGGCCCTGACCCGCCGGGCCCAGGAGCATGGAGTCAGAGGGCCAGGGCCCCAAGCCCGGCACAGCCACCTCCACGCCCGAGGACTGCAGGCCAGTTCCGTGACTGCCCCACGCCCCGCTTCCCCAGCTAAAAAACGGGGACAATGAAAGTAGCCCCCTCAGCAGGCATCACGAGGCTCAGTGAGATGGTGTTTGCAAAGCACTCGGCACAGTCCCCGCGGGATCAAGTGAGCGAGCGTGCGGTCCCCACGACCCTGCAGCCGCCCACCTCCACTCCGGGGGGCTGGCGCCCCTCACAGGAGGGTTCTCCAGGGTGGCTTCACCGGGATTGCTCTGTGAGGCGTGAGTGAGGGTACAGGGCCTGGCGGAGCCTCACGCCACGGGCTGGCTCAGTGTCAGGTCGCCGTCCCCTGAAACTGCTCCCTGAGCAGCATGTAAGGGACAGTTGAGTCTATTCCTAAGAAAGGTGGGAATAAAAACACGAACACAGAGATCTCCTTGGACGGCAGAACCAGAGGTGGCGGCCCCAGTGCGCGGTCACTGACTCCGTAAGGCCTGCACCTTTCCACACCCTCCCTGATCACCTCGTCCACTCTGCTGTCCCCGGAGACTTCTATGTGACAAGGGCTCCCAAGTCTGCATCTCACAGCCAACAGCGGCAGGATGCAGCTCCTGGGTGCCCACAGCATCGCAAGGCACCAGCGAGAACCCACCTGCCTGCCCAGCCTGCTTCTCCTCCTCAACGCCCGGGGGCACGTCCGGTCCTCGCTCTCTGCCCCGCCACACGGCCTCCGCCCCTGCTGTGCCTGGAACACACTCATCCCTGTCCCAGCCCCTGCCCAGGGAAGGCTGGGATGTGTGCACACCACCCTATTGCCACCACTGGTGCTTAGCACATGGCAGGCGCTCCGTAAATATTCAGCAAATACGTGAATGAACAGTCTGAGCATCCTATCTTCATAATGACTTTAAACATTAACGTATCTCTTGACTCTTCCAGTTCCTTTTAGCTCCTCTGCCTCCACCCAAATCTCAGCCGCTCTCACTTCTCAACTGCACCCCGTAAAGCCTTGCCAC